TTATCCCATCCTCTCTTGAATCTCTCTTTTTGTTGGCTTTTGTTAAAATCACAGAGAAGTTGAAATTGCAGGTACCCTGGAAAATCTTGGAATTTTAGTCAGATGGCCTCTCTGGGCCTGTTTCTGCATCTTGTAATGATGTAATGATGATCTCTAAGGGAACAACATGAATCAGCATTCCAATGGTTTGTTGACATGTAGCAGAAAGGAGGAGAATCACTCCTGGGTGCTCCGGTGGGAGCCAGTTAAGGAAGGTGGCCTTGGAGTCTTGGAGTCGATCTTCCCTCCAGGGTGTGAGCCTGAGCCACAAAACCCCTCCTTGGTGACCCTGGGCTGCCCCAAGCTCTGATCAAGGGTAAACTACAGGTGGATACAATTTGCAAATAGCCTCGGCCCCTGTGATAGCTTATGGTGAATAATGTCAGATTCATGATCTCTGAAGAAGATTTAGCTTCAGGACCAGGGACCAGGGTTGATCACTCAAGAGCTTTTGTGTAGCAGAGTTTTATTAAAGTGAAAAAGGGACAGAGAAAGCTTCTGACACAGTCATCAGAAAGTGCCCCCACTCACCAGTCTTACCAAGGCCTTATATACTTTTACCAGACCCACTCCCACAACATATGTCTTAAGATAACAAGATTAGTCAGAAAACCTTGTTAAGGAGAAACATGTCCTTGAGCAGGATACATTGTTATATTGACTAAAACAAAGGAAAGTAGAAAAAAAACCTTTTATCTTCATGACCCAGATAACCACCATGGTGTGAATACTGGGATAGAGCCAGACATCCTGGAATACAAGTGGGTCTTAGGAAGCATCACTGTGAACAAAGCTGGCGGAGGTGATGGAAGTCTAGTTGAGCTATTTGAAATCCTAAAAGATGATGCTGTTAAAGTGCTGCACTCAATATGCCAGCAAATTTGGAAAACTCAGCACTGGCCACAAGACTGGAAAAGGTCAGTTTTCATCCAATCCCAAAGAAACTCAATGCCAAAGAATGTTCAAACTACCACACAATTGCACTCATCTCACATGCTAGCAAAGTAATGCTCAAAATTCTCCAAGCCAGGCTTCAACAGTACGTAAACCATGAACTTTCAGATGTTCAAGCTGGATTTAGAAAAGGCAGAGGAACCAGAGATCAAATTGCCAATATCCATTGGATAATCAAGAAAGCAACAGAGTTCCAGAAAAATANTTTTGAACTGTGGTGTTGGAGAAGACTCTTGAGAGACCCTTGGACTGCAAGGAGATCCAACCAGTGAATCCTAAAGGAAATCAGTCCTAAATATTTATTGGAAGGACTGATGCTAAAGCTGAAACTCCAATACTTTGGCCACCTCATGCGAAGAGTTGACTCATTAGAAAAGACCCCGATGATAGGCAAGATTGAAGACAGGAGAAGGGTACGACAGAGGATGAGATGGTTGGATGGCATCACCAATTTGATGGACGGGAGTTTGAGCAAGCTCTGGGAGTTGGTGATGGACAGGGAAGCCTGGTGTGCTGCAGTCCATGGGGTCACAAAGAGTCAGAATGACTAAGCAACTGAACTGAAAACAAAGCAATGTAGAATAAAACATTTGTCTTTTTCTCCTGAGAGCCCCAGACTCCTTTCTCCTCCTTGGGGACCCTGGACTTCTTATCAACCTACCTAGAAATTGACTCTCTCACCTGACCCATTAATTGACTCTTGCCAGTGACCTGGGGCAGAAAAAGAACCAGGGACCAAGACCAGCCAGTCAGCTGAAGGAGGCACAGCAGGGAGGTCAGGGGAGCTCGGGGACAGAAATTACCTGAAGCCAGAGCAGCCAGCCAGAGGAGGAAAGAGAACAGAGGGAGTGGCTGGGAGGTGTGGAGCTATAGTGAGATACTGCAGCCAGAGGACCCAGAGCATCTCCCAGATCCTGCCCAGGCCCAGGTCAGGTGTCCCTCCAAGGACACAGGCACATTCATGTGCCTCGTGTCTCTGGAGACTGGAGTGTGTATCTATCCCTCTCCCCCAAAGGATGGGTCTGACAACCCATAGCAGGAGGCCAGGATGGGATAAGGAAGGTATGTGCTCTCAGGGGACAGGAACATGCAGACCTTTGCAACCTGATGTCAGCCCTGGTCTGACCTCGGAGAACACAATGGCTTCATTCATGCATGGGATGTGCAGGCATAGGTGTGGGGTACGGGCTGCTTTTGGGGGTGATGAAAATGTAAAATTGATAGTGATGATGGTTGCTATATACCAAAAACCATTGAACTGTACACGAATTGTATACTCTGAAAGGGTGAAATGTGGTTTATGAGCTTGATCTTGATAAAGCTACTCACGTAGGCACACAGTCGTAACCAGCAGAAGCCCAGGAACCCTCTGCGTACCAGGACACACATGGTCTCAGCTTGCTTCCTTCATGCTCTGCTTTCACATGAGGGCAGGGGACAGGCTGGGCAGCCCCTTCCCTCAGAAGCTTCCTCACCTACCCAGGAAGTCACAGGGAGTTCGGGTTAAAGCAAAAGGGACCGCGGGTTTGGAAATGCATTAAAACTGCAGTGCCAGGTGGGATGGAGATGGTCTGCAGGGACATGGGGCTCTGACAGGGACACACAGGGGATGGAAAGCGGTGTCAGGGACCCGTTGAAATCTAGGCAGCAGAGAGGGGCCAGGAGGGAGAGGATTGGGTGAAAGGCCTCCAGCCCTCCAACCCCCACTCCCCAGCCTTTCGGATGAGACTTTCCTTCTGCAGTTTTAGATTAAAATAAAAAGATCCCGGGCAGAGGCGGATGGGCCCCCAGCCCATTGGGGCACACACCTGGGGCAACCTGAGTGTGAGTGAGTTTTTGCGGGGCAGTGCTGATACAAGTCAGTGCCCCTGCTGGAAGCAGAATCATGAGTCTTGGAGGAAGGCAGTGAAACCCATCCTGGCTGTGAAGGTGGGGTCTGAACCTGGCAGTTCTCCTGGGAAATGGCCTGGCCTAGGAACTGGGAGTTCATCTGTATGAGTCATTCGTGAAGTCAGGGTTTACTGAGTGCCTACTATGTGCCAGGCGCAGCCTGGGTGTCAGCTTGGAATCAGCCTGAGCTGGATGCTAATGAGGCCATTTCCAACAAAAAGAACACTCACCTATGTGGCAGACTCCAGGCCACATGCCAGCCTTCTGGCCGTGTTATTCCTGGTCCTGACACCATGCCTCAAGGCAGGGTCTAGGGCACTGACTTTGACCTTCTCAGGGTCACACAAGAGCAGGGATAGAGGACAGGACAGGAACACGGACAGCATTGTGATTCCCGAAGGTGTATTAGGCCCTGTCCCCGGAGGCCAGAAGTGGGGAAGCAGCTCTCATTGCACAGCATCTGCAAGCCCTAGCCCTTGGAAGGGTGCTTCACAAATGGGAAACTGAGGCACACACAGCAGATGGCCATGGGATTACCCTGACTGATTCTGGGGGCGGAGGGGCAAGGAGAAGCAGGCAGAATTCTGGGGCATGAGAGGAGCCCAAAGAGCCGCAGCTTCTTGTTGAGAAAGGACCCTGAGGCCCCAGCAGGGGACTGCTGGCCAGCAATCAGCCCCAGGGCAGCAAAGGGAGTGGCCAGTCCAGTAGTTCCAGGAAGCTGGGGCCAGGCCCCTTTCTGTTTCTAGCCTGCACTCATGGTTTCTCTGATGGGGGAACTGGGCACCTCAACAAAAGATTCTGCCAGCAAGGCTATTTTTCACTAGTTTGCCAAAAATCTTCCCAACCCCCTAAGACTGAGAAACTAGGTTCACCACTGTATGTGGATATGAGGTGGTCCTGATTGCCCACCACTTAGTGGTTGATCCCGGTTTGCCTTGAAGCCTCTCATTCTGTCTTCAGGCACTGGTATGTAATGCTCAGGAACTGATGCTTGCTCCTCCAACCTGACCACCAATACTTTTCAAACAGGGACTGCACTACTGTGGCGGAGTGGTGGAGAGGGAAGACTTGTGAATGGAGAGACCAGGCATTTTCCTCCTCTGCAACTAGAGAAGCTGATCCTGAATCAACAGCCTGGGCAGCTATCTCACCCACACCTCTATGTAACCCCTGTGCTCAGAGTAGTATGTCTGTTGGCTGTCCAAAAATATGCATTAACAGCTTGTTCATGGTTCCTTCTTTTTGGCTGGGGTAAGAGATAGGCCGAGAGAAGAATCCAAGTGAAACTCATTTCCTTTTGGTTCAGGGGCCTCTCTGAAGAGCCAAGGCAGACTAAATGAAAACGGAGATCCAGTTTCCAAGACACAGAACTGGAGAGGCAGGCGATGCAGGCCTCACCCTCTGAACCACGGTAGCATCAGCCTCACCTTTCAATCTGACACCAGAGTTCCTAGGACTGCTCCTCCTTTGGATAGAGGCTTGAGCTTGCTGTAGGCCGTTGAGCCTGCTGGAGGCCCGGTGCTTGGCTCATAGGGCGGGAGGGGAACTGCACAGCGCACACCCTAGCCAGCCCAAGAAACCTGTGCACACTTGTGTCCCGGCCTGTGTCACTTCCTGCAGGCACCTGTGCAGGGAAGGGCGTCCCCACTCCCATCACCCCAGCCGCTGAGTCCCGAATGCGTGGGTCTGAGGCCTGCAGAGACAGGCTGTCCCCTCTCTCCCTCCGGCAAAGGGCACTGCCTGGAAGTCTGTCCCATGTCTGTCGCGAGGAGACTCTGGCTTCCCAGACACCTGCGGGGACAAACGAAGTCCCGGCGAGGACACGTGGATCCTGCATGCGGAAAGGGGCCAGGCAGAGGGCTCTCGGCCAGGGACTGCTGGGCGGGGGTGGGCAGGGAGCAAGGAAAGAGAAGGACTGGCCGGGACACCCGAGGGTCGCGAGTACGCGACACAGCACTGGCCCCAGGCCCAGCCCTGACCCAGGCTGTCTCCGGAGGCCCCGGCCGCGCCCCTAACCCCGCCCCTAGCCCTGCCCTAGGCTGCGCGGCCCCGCCGCCTGTCCTCCGCCCGAAGCCGCGGCCCCGCCCCTCGGCCAGCGCAGCCCCGCCCACCGGGTTGCTAGGGGAAGTGACGTCACAGCGCGATGGCGGCGGCTCCTTCAGACAGCTGAAGGGAGATTTAGGCCCGGGAGATCCGAGTCCATCCGCGGCGGGGAGAGGGCGAGCGGGGCCGGCGGGGGCCGGGACAGGGGCGGCGGCGCTCGAACTGTCCCATCCGCCCCGTATTGAAGCGCTGGGAGCGGCGGGGCGACCGGAAAGCGATGGTGAAAGCGGGGCCGTGAGGGGGGCGGAGCCGGCAGCCGGACCCGCAGTAGCGGCAGCAGCGGCGCCGCCTCCCCGAGCTCAGACCCAGGAAGCGGCCGGGAGGGCAGGAGTAAAGCGGTCCCGCCGCCGCCGCCATGGAGCTTAGAGTGGGGAACAGGTACCGGCTGGGCCGGAAGATCGGCAGCGGCTCCTTCGGAGACATCTATCTCGGTGAGGCGCCCCTCCCCCCGGCGCGGGCCACCCCAAACCGGCGTCCGCTGGCCCCGGTTCCGCTCCGGCCTCCGCCCCGGCGACCCCGCCCCCGGCGGCTCGAACCCCAGGTCAGACCCTCTTCGCCCGTGGCGGTGAGCCGGGTCCCCGCTGGTTCGGATCTCCCAGCTCCCCAGGCAGGAACTTTTGGCCTTTTTGACCCGCGCCCCTCCACCCCACCACCCCACCCCGAGGGCACCTGTTTAACCTGAGCTCGCGGCCTCTGGGCAGCGGCCGGGAGCCTCGGTTAGGCCCTCGATGCCCGCTCTGCTCGCCCCGCCTGGTGTCCGCTCCCAGTGTCCCCCCCCCCCCCCCCCCAGGCAGAATNTGGTCCCCCCCCTCCCCCCCCAGGCAGACAAAGGCCGTCGGCGAGTGCGGCTCCCACGTCCTACGCTCGTGCGGCGGGCACGAGAAGAGTCCGGGGCTGGCCGAGACTTCTTCGGCGCTCCTCGTGATGGTGCAGCCTCAGCTGACCAGTCCCTCTGGCCTGGAGCCTGGGCCGTGGACCGCAGGTGGCGCACAGGGTCGCCTGAGGGCCAGTCCAGTGGTCGTTGAGAACATGTTGCGCATCCAAGTTCCGTACTAGGTACCTCGGCTTAAACTAGAATGACATTCAGGTGATTCTGGACAAAGTCAGCGTTAAGGTGTTGGCAGACTTAGAGGCAAATAAAGTGCAAAGCTCTACTCATTAGCTTGCCCTTTTGCTATGAAAATTCTTCCAGATAGACGGGGGGTGGAGGGGGGAGATTAGAACGTTCCGGATGGCTTCAGATTTCCAGTGAAAGAAAGCGCATATACACGTGTGTAATGAAAGGTTGGCTTCAGTCTTACAGTTAAAAGTTTAAAAATAGCTTATTGGGTTTTCCCAAAGGAATAATTGTATATGAGTTACTCCTACCCCCACATTTGGGGACGTCCAGCCTGGCACGCGGTGCGTGTGCAGAGGGACTGTCATTGCGCAAGTTTGGGGTAAACATGCTCTGTGCTTGCGCAGCCCGCTCTGGTGTTTTTGTTTGGCTGGTGTAAGGGAGGGTCAGGAATAGCTTCTTTTGTCAGTAATGCTTCTGGTTATGCCTTTCAGATGGTCCCAAGTTCGCGCTCTCACCGCCCCATCCTTGGCTATAGTTCCCAGAAAGATGCATGACCTCCTGGGCTGACAGTGTAAGAGGAGTCCACACTTAGGGTAGTTCCTAACTATTTTTGGTACCCTTACCCTACAGGGAAACCTGTCACATCAGTAGGTGCTTTACTGCCCTGCTGAGTAGAATACACTTTAGAGACACTTGGATTTTGCTGTTTAAATATTTATGTCCGGTAGTCAGCAGTTGCCTTCTCAGCAGTGTTTTGGGAGGCAAAGTGCTGGGTAAATGCATGCTGTTTGCCTTATTTATAGAACGATAGATTTTGGCAAAAGTTTTAATCTAGGAGCTGTAGTGAAAAGCCAATCCATTAGCCACCCTTACACTGATACGAAAAAGTCAATATTTTGAAACTTTTTGTTCTCTGGTCTGAAACCTTGCCAGACAGCTCTCTGCTTTCCAAAACTTTGTTCAGACAGTCAGAGTGTGGAACACTGTCACCAGGTCATTCACAAAGAAGTTGAGAGTTTTGTGGGAGACCCTGTAGGCTTTATTCACAAGTGTGTCCTTTGGGCCTCACCTTGTTCTGGGCACACCAGTGGTGCTAGATACAGATCATCAGGCTGACTGGTCCCAGAGGGATCTGTCCTCAGTTTTCTCCTTCACATTTATCCTAAGATGGATAGACTGTGGCTCTTGAGTGCTCGTTATGAGTACCCACATGGCCCAGCCATTGGAGTACACTTAGAGTTACTTGTGTGCAGTTGGATACAACCAGTTATTTTCGTCAGCCTTGGCCCATGTAGTGGTGGCTTCAGACTACATGCTACCTCACTGAGAAAATGTGACATGGTCTTGTTAGATTGAGATGTGACTGGAAAGTGGGTCAGAGGTGGTTCAGTCGCTAAGTCGTGTCTTACTCTTTGTGACCCTGTGGATTGCAGCACCAGGCTTCCCTGTCCTCCACTATCTCCCAGAGTTTGTTCAGAATCATGTCCATTGAATTGATGATGCCATCCAACCATCTCATCCTCTGCTGCATCCCCTTCTTCTTTTACCTTCAGTCTTTCCCAGTGAGTTGGGTCTTCACATCAGGTGGCCAAAGTATTGGAGCTTCAGCATCAGTCCTTCCAGTGAATATTCAGGGTTGATTTCCTTTAGGATTGACTGGTTTAATCTCCTTGCAGTCCAAGGGACTCTCGAGAGTCTTCTCTAGCACCATCATTCGAAAGCATCAGTTCTTCAGCACTCAGTCTTTTTTATGGTCCAAGGACCACGGGATGTATTGAGTCATCTGTACTACTGTTGTTTGTGGGTGTGTTTTTTTTTTCCATTTTTTAGGCAATTAACTAGTCATTAGTTGAGGAATGAGGAATTTGGTTCTCATCTTAAAATTATGTCCTACAAATTATAGTATGGCGACGATTCAAGTTGTCCCAACTGCTGTCACTTTGCTATAGGTCAGATCACTGGACGACGACTCCTTCACCTTGCTTTCAGTGTGGGGTTTAGGGTCTTCCTGGACTTTCTAGCACTTTTAGATGCTTGAAGCCGAGGGTTAAGAGCTATCCTTCAGCTTGCTAAATGCCTTATGGACCAAGAAGGCCCAGAGCTGGCCTCCCTTTCCAGCAGCCTGCTGTGCTGACATGAGCACTCGGCACTGTGCCCTGCAGTTTATTCCAGTCTTTCCCAAACTGAGCCCCCTGTTCTCGTGGAGCTCTATTCTTGTCCATGTTTGTCTTGTAGAGGCGGTTACAGTACCTTGGACCCACTCTACTTCATGATTGGTGAATGGAGGAGGTTTTCTTCCTACCAGTTTTTGGCATTTGTACTTGATCCTGACACTCAGTTTGTCAGAGGATGGCCTCATCTGTCCAGTCTTTACCCAGGTGGACTTTGCAGATTGACTTTATTGTGTACACAAACGCTTTGGGGGAGCTAAAGCTTAGTAACCTCTTCATATTTGATTTTCATGTTTTTCCCCCTCTCTGACTTTCATTTCTCTTCAGTGGGGTGTCTGGCACGCAGTAGAGGTTCCAAAATGGTGCTGACTGGCCAGGAGAGGAAAGCAGTCGCCAGTACACAGCTCTTGTAGTCATATGCCTGTGTCCTTTACAGTGGTGGCTTGAGTGTTTCTAGATACCAAGTCAGCTGCTTTGTCAGTGGTTGTCCTGCGAGAGTAACTTTTGACCTGCTGTTGAGAGGCCTCTCCCTCTTTCTTAAGATAAGACAACCATCAATGGGAGTTAACCTTTCTGTTCCAGGAAAGGGCCAAGCTTAGGGTTAAGTTCAGTTCATTTATCCTCTGCCTTTGCCTAATTTGAGGGACATAATTTTGTTTTCCTAGGACCAGTATTAACCTGTGTCTAAACATAGACTAATATCTATACCTAGTGAGAGGGAACTCTTGTCTGACTGGCAGTGGAACTGCACAAAAGAGCTGAGGTTGTTGGATAAAACATCTCACTATAAACAGACACTAAGAGTAATCATGATGTGCCACTTGGTTTTGACTTGCTCTGAATCTGGAACCCAGAGCCCAGTAATACCTTTCAGATTTTTTTGTTCCCCATCTAGAAGTACTTCTAAAAGTTACCTGTTGTGAAGGACCAAGTTTTGTAATTTCCAGTTGTGGCAGAAACCAGCCCTTTTGTTAAAAAAGATTAAAATGCAGCAATGTCATTTTGCCATCAGAGCTCTTGGGTGCTTCCTCGGTATCCTGCATTTTCCCTTTGTGGACTGGTGGCAGTTTGAGGACAAGACTTGGGGCGGCACTGGTGGTAGAGCACAGGGGCTGCTGTCAGCCAGGGGAGCTGGGATAGGACTACAGGGCTACCGAGTGGTGCACCTTAGTTTTGCTCAGGGGTCTCGTTAATGTTTAGTTCCCATGGAACATACAGAATTTGAAGCTCTGCTTCTTCAGTGGTGAAGAGCTCTCAGAGGAGACAGCCTGGAGTGGGTGCTGCCCTCAAGTCTGTTTGGTAGAGAACCCATGTCCAGCCTTTCCTCTTTTAGTCATCAGACTCAGGGCACCCTTCACATCTGTGATGCTGTAAAGGGCTGGCTCTGTTGCTGATATGATCGTGGAGGAGGTGGACTCTGTGTCCTGGTGTAATCTTAGGGCAGGCTGACTGTTTGCTGGTATAATCATGGAGGAGGTGAGCTGTTTCCTGGTGTAATCTTAGGTGAGTCTGACTCTTGCTCTGTGTGGTCTTGGGGGATGCTGGCTTTGTCGATGTGATGTTAGGGGAGGCTGGAATTCAACTGTGTTTCAGAGTTGCCTGTGGTCATTTGTCCCCAAGACTGTCAGTATTGCAGGGTGACTCAGATGTTAGCTTGTAACCATGATACAGTGGAGCTAGAAGTGTTCTCAAGCTTCTTGAAGGTGCAAGTTCAGTAGGTAGCCTGTGCAGGCCCAGGCTATGTTGTCATTGAGAAACTGCCTCTTGGCAAGGTTGACAGAGCAGACATAGTTGAAGGAGCAAGAGTGCTATCATCAGAGACTTTGCTGCTCCTGCTTTGGGGTGGGGGAGTTGCTGATGTAACTAGTAGGATGAGTCATCTGTTCCTCATGGGCTGGCAAGTTCGGTTCAGAGTTCCAGGTCCTCACAGGAACTCAGAGTTCATTTTCCATTTGCACAGTACATTTTAAAATGAAGTCATTTCTCTTGTGATTAGGTAAATTATCACCGTCTGAGGCAGAAAGGACAAAATGTATTACCTGTCTTTCTTCTGAGTGCCCAGGAGTTTTCGTGGCATGGTAAATGGAGTTCTTAAATTCAAGGTGGTCACTAACAGTGATCAAATGGTGGTTATTCCCGTGGAAACCCAGCATTGGTGACCAGCTTTGTACCTAGGGCAACTAGAAATGGATGCATTTCAAGCAGCTGTCTGAGCAGACTAGAGGGGAAAGTTTGTCTTTCTTGGGCATTTACTGGGTTCGTGAGTATCAAGCAGACAACTCTCCTGCAGGTCTTCATTGTTCTAATGCTTGCTGACCTTACTCTGCCTTTTTCTGGGAGTCTCAATGTGCTTTGTGACCAGTAACCCATTCATCCCTACAACTCCCAAGAAACAGACTGCTGGTCTCCCCTCTGAACTCAGATGGTGAGAGAAATTTGAGTTGCCAGGGACTGGCAACATTGCTTTGCCCAGTGTGGGTCTAGGTTTCGTCTGGGCTGCTGTAGCCAGTGTTAATTCCTTTACAAACAACTGTACTTCTGGGAAGTATTAAAGTGCTTTAACTTAGAACTGGCGAGGAAAGCAAGGAAAGACCTAGTTATGTGCTTTTCCTGTTCTCTCTAGTGAATGTGCCTTGGGAGAGGGAGGGGGGTCTTGTAGCATAGCTTTGAGTCAGACTGGCACTCAGAAACATTTGTGTGATAAGCCTGCATAGGTAGTGGTTGTCATGTATGTAGGTCCACATTGTAGTAAATAAGAGAATGGCATCATGAGGTTAAACCTCTGATCTTCAGTCATGGGCTGGTGATCAGGAGGTGTGAGCAGATACGTTGCTAGTTTTAGCACAAAATTGGCAAAAGATGAGTGACAAGTACGTGTTGCACAGGTGTGATTAGGGCTTTGAGAACAGAACCCAGTCCTGATCCAGTGTCCATAGGAGACACAGAGCAATGTCTTGGTTCCAAGAGGGAAGGGATGTGCTGGGTCTCCCTGGGCCTGGCCTGTGTTGGGCGAATGATGGCTCCTGCCATGTTGTGGGAACCGAGCCCCCTTGAGAAGCACCCTGCTGTTTGTGGCTTGGTACTTAGGCCACGTGGACTGAGATGGGCTTAGACCATGTGGTTGTTCAGTGGAAATGCAGCTTTCCCTCTGGAGAGAGGATTGTACACACTTGGGGCCTATCAAGGAAGCATGGAGAAATGGGGTCGACATGGAATGTATTGCCCTGGGACTCCCCATGGTCTAGCCTTGGGTGGGTGAATGCAGGGCTGACCAGCAGGCTGGATGAGAAGGTTTAGACCAGGTAGGGATCCTGTGGAGAGAACTGTACAGCCTGTCTCTGGGTCTCCTGGTGATCAGAGTAGGGCCATATGGAAGTGGGTGATATAAAGCCATATAAGATTTTTCTATACATATTACATACTTCTGTTTTAAAAAGTGAAAATAAGAGTTATTTTCCCACAAGGATTTATCTACCGCTGACACCATTTTGTAGTAGAAAGTGGAGTACATCCATCTGCTGGTCGTCCTCAGAAGATTCCGATAGCACTCATGACTCCAGTGTGTCATGACGTTGGGTTAGGTGGGAGATACCAGATGATTAACATTTGTGGTTTTCTTTCTCTGCCAAGGTACGGACATCGCTGCAGGAGAAGAAGTTGCCATCAAGCTTGAATGTGTCAAAACCAAACACCCTCAGCTCCACATTGAGAGCAAAATCTACAAAATGATGCAGGGAGGAGGTATGATTTTTACCTGTTAAGAAAACCAAGGTGTTGTTTGATAAGGGAGATGGCAGATGTCATGAATCACAGTCTGGTTGATTTGGAAAGGGGGCAGGAACGTTCATACCCTTGGCCCCATCCTGTGACTTCCTTCAGATACTAACTGAGAGGCCTGCAAAGGGCCTCACTTGACAAAGGAAACATCATTTTATGCTTTTTGCATGAGTATTCCCTTCCTTAGGGAATGTTATGTACTGGTGTCTTTGAACACGAGCTTATGTCAGCACTGACATGAAGCTTGCTGCTGATTCTTCCATGCTGTCTCAGTCGTGCCTGCAGCTTTTGGACAGTCTGCGGACTCTTCCTCCTGAGTGAGACCCTTTCCAGCTCAGTTACTGTCCCCCTTCTGTGAAACCTCCCCTTGGGCCTGAGGGTACCTGATATCAGAGAGTACCCATCCTGGTTTCAGAATCTACCTTTTAGAATTCTCTAGACTTTGAGATTGTTTGGCTAATAGAGCAGGAAGGGGTCTTATTGGAGGGGTCTCAGTCCTGAAGACACTGCAGCATTTTGAAGGGTGTGCCTGTGCTGCTCCCCAAGAAGCTTGGGAAGTCTAGGCACAACCCTGAATATCTTGAATTTCTCTGGGGACAGGGCTTTGTGTGTGAAGAATAGCTGTGTTATTCCCTCTTGGAAACCCTTCAAGGCAGAAGCCCCCATGATACTTTCAGAGTTGGGGGTGGGGGTGGGCTGTTGCCTTTTTGCCAAAGGAAAGCTTGTCCTCAGAGTCTGTTGGTACTTTTGTCAGGTGGAAAAGGAGGACTGGTGAGGTGACTTCTTGACATCTTTGCTTCACAAAGCAGTTTAATCTGTGCTACTACTACCAGAAACCACCATATCTCTGTTGACGTAGCACAAGGTGTCTCTTTAGCAGCAGATACATTTTAAAGCAACATTCAGAGTCCTATGAGATGATTGCAGAGGGGGTGTCCAGTGCCTCTCATCCCTGGTATTATGAGACCAGAAGAGGCTATAGGTTCTCGGATGGCACATGGAGAGGAGACTCCCTGGCCCCTCCAGTGCCCAGGAGAGGTTGACAGAGGACCCTGCCAGTGTGTCTGCCCTCTGGAGGCCCTCAGTGAGCTTCTCAGGCACCAGGTGTGGTCTACACAGCTTTTAAGGTGGTGCTGACTTGGGATATGGCCTTCATGGTGGAAGGAGCTTGGTGATGGTGATTGGATGAAACCTTCTGACTGAAAACCGTGTGCATTTGAGGAGCAGCATCTCTGGGAACTCAGAAGCTGGGCGCTCAGGGACAGAGGGAAGGAAAAGAACAGATGCCAGGGAGGTGCTGCTATGGAGTAGATTAAGACTCAACAAAGGAATTCCCTGGCGGCCCAGTGATTAGGACTCTGCTTTCTCCACTAAGGGCACAGATTCAATCCCTGGTCAGAGAACTAAGATCCTGCCTCAACAGAAAAGAGTTTATTTGGGTTAGAACAGGGTCTCTCCTCCAAAGCGTTACTGTTTATTGTGGAAGCTGTCTCCTGCATGGAGGACAGAGAGCAGCATCCTAGGTGCCAGTAGGCCCTCACCCCCTCTCCCAAGTTGCAGTGATCAGAAATGTCTGCAGATGCTGCTAAATGCCCCTGCATGTACTTCCTGCTTAGACCCCCTGTTTTAGAATGCAAAGGATCACTTACTTTAGTCTTCCCATACCCCTCCTCTAGGATCATGGAAGCCCACCAGAATACTAGAAAAGATATTCTCCTGTCTGACCCTACCCACACGTAGATCGGGTTTTAATCTTGCTTCAGGTATACACTTGGTGAATTCTATCAAGATGTAAATGTTTGTTTTTAGAAAACTGATTCTTTCCGGGAGAGTGGAGAGCTCCATGCTGGTACTGTTTTGTGAGCTTGTCCTAGCCGGGATGAAGCTGGGATGGCAGAGGAGATAGAGGCCTCTGCCTGGAAACCTCATAGCTCTGCAGTTGGCCAGCCTTCTGTATCCATCTCAAGTGGTGCATCTCTGATCATGGATTTTTTCCTTTTTATGCTGAGCTCTGGGCTTCTTTGCAGATGGTTGATATTGACAGCATCACAGGAGAAAGCTTGAAGCCCAGGGCTTGCTTTGCCCTCTCTAGCTCGTAGTACAATGTTGCCTGGGTTGCTGCCTGGTAACGTGGCCTTGCAGTGCTCCACTAGAGAGAGCCGCTGTGCTGGCTCACTCAGGCCACTTAGGGGAGGGGTTGGCATTTAAAAAAAAACAACAACATGTTTTAGGGTGTGGATGAGATGGGTGAAAAGTTTCAGTTGTATGATAGCATTTGGTAACCAGACTTACTGTGGTAATCACCTTTTATTAGTGTATGCAAAGATGAAATTGTACACTTGAAACTAATATGTTTTATACCAATTTTACTTCAATAAAAGCAAAAGCAAAAAAAAAGACACACTAGTGTCAAGGTATTGTTAAAAGTATTTTTACATGTGCCGGCACGTTCTCCACCACAGTCATGTGCAGTAGATATCATCACCCTCATATAACAATTGAAGAAACTGAGGCTGTTTCTAAAGAACACAGGTTTGAACATGAGCACTGTAGCTCCCAGACCACTCCTGGAGAGCAGCCCTCCCTGAGGGTCAGCAATCAGGAACGAGCCCAGATCTAGTTGGTGCAATAGATTAAAAAACTTGAAATAGCAGAAATAATTTTAAGTTAATTATGTTGGTGACAGACTTGGGTGGACACCCAGTTTTTATCAAAACAAAGTGGACTGCCAGGCAGAACCTAGAGGCTGACTGCACTTTCCAGTCCTAATAACCCCACAAAGTATCTTTAGACCACATCCTCCTTGGGGAACCTTTGAGTGGAGATCTCTTGTTTAGTTCACAGCTACTTCTGGTCGAGGCTTAGGGTGGGTGTGGGAGGAGAGGGTGGGCCCTTTGTATGAGAATTCAGGCCAAGGGTGAGGATGGGAGCTCTGCGCTGATGGTGGGTGAATGCCACCAGTGACGTGGGCAGTTGAAACAGGTGGCCTCTCACCCAAGTTCACTCTCATTTTACATGCCTGGTCAGTTCCCACAGTATATTTAAGACAGTTATGATCTTTTTTATTAGGAAAGGTTTTACAGTGCCTAAGAACATGTAGAGCTCGTGGCTATCAGAATACTAAAATGAACCCCCAGAACTCCCATGTGCTTGAGAGAGAGAGCAGGAAGGCCTTCGGCACCTGTGTGCCCACCCCAGAACTTCTTCTCTACAGCTGCCCAAAGCCTGTCTCCCCATGCCCTTGCTTAGTTTGTTTCTCATTTTTTTTTTCCTCCATTATCCTACAAGAAGTTAGTTTTTTAAAAATCTAATGACATTGCCCAGAAACATTTGGCCATTGTGTTTACAGTTGTTTTAAGGTTCAATTGCCAAGCACTTCATGAACAATTGTATTTGCATTAATACTGAGTCCCTAAGTTTATATTGAAACTTTCCACAAATCCAATGGAAAGCATTTACCTGGTGGTATCCCCCCTTTTTCACCCCCGGGCGTATTTTTCATTATCTTTGGACTGAATGAGGGGAAAAGTATCAAGTGTCCAGAGCTGCCCATAACAGTCCAAGTGACGCATTTCCCATGTTAAGGGCGAGTGGGCAGGGGCAGCTGAGTGTCCCTAGCATGGCTGGTCACCGGGTAGCACTCTGGTGGCTGTGTCTCTCACCTGCGGCCTCACATGTCCTGCCCCAGCCCCAGGAGTGGTACTCTGGCATCCCAGGTGCATTTCAGCTTTCTGGTCTCACTGCACCACACCTCTGAGGTCACGGAGCAGCTGTCTGTACACAGGGAGCGGGGTCATTCTTGTGAGAGTTGATTGCTTTAGAGTTGATTGCTGCCTGGACCTCAGCATTTAGCTTGCAAGACAGTCTGCTAAGGATGAAGCCGGCTCCATAGCATCTTCCTCTTCTGGCCAGGGAACTGAGAAGAGGAGCTCCCTGCTTCTACTGCATCTTATCTTAGGGTGATAAGGTATGTTGGTGTCGCCAGCAAGAGACAGTGCTGCCAGTGAAATGGACCATCAGAGCAGATGAGTGGCAAGTCCATACCCCACATCTTCCTAGTTCATACTCTTGTGAACACGAGTAATACAATTTTACTGTGTGTATTCTACAATTTTCCTCTCTGACCTGCTGTGTTCCTGAGGTTCTTGAACGTTGACACAATTGTGGTTCGATGGATTTCGTTGCAGTTTATAGGCTCTTGTGTCTCCATAAACAGACCTCCCTGTGTTGAGGAGGAGCCCTGGCTGGCTTCTAGGGTTTTGCTCTTAAGCATGGTGCCACAGTGACTCCCTCGCCCACAGCCTGTTGGTGGAATAGCATTCTATAAAGTAAGCAGGTGCTCAGCCTGTAGGGTGGCACCCCAGCCATAGGGATGTGTTCCCAGGTGGTTACCCACATTTGCCTTCTCCTGGACAGCCTCGGGGGCTCCTGTTAGATCCACATCATCTTCAACCTTGCCATTAATCATTCTTCTCCAGTGTGACTTGGCGTGTCTCAGCTAGCACAGAAGGGGGAAGTTTCAAAGAATAAGGATGGAGAAGAAAGAAACAAAACTTACTGGTACATGATCTGACTTCCTATATAGGAGACCAATAAGACAGGTTAGAGTGGTGAGCCAGATACTTCAGATCAGAGTATAAAATTAGTTCTCTTATTACACCAACAACAGTCAGTTAGGAAATATAGTTCTTTTTCTCCTCAGTGCAAGCAAGTCTTTATTCTTTACATCTGACAGGGAAAAGAGGGAAAGGGCCAGCCCATGTGACAGGACATGGTGAGTGAGAAAGGAAGTGAGGGCACAGCAGAGTCAGCCACTGAGTCTTTGCTTTCTGGGGGTGAGGTCCCTGTGGCCCCAGGGCTGAAGTCGCCTGTAGTTCGAGAGCAAGAGGAAGGGGAACCAGGAGAAGACAAACTACTCCTTCCTCCTAAATTCAAGATTTCAAACAAAGCTTTCGTGTCTAACA